TTTCGTTCTATTATTTGTCTCTCTCTCTCTCTCTCTCTCTCTCTCTCTCTCTCTCCCATCCACATTACAATAAAACAGAACAAGTACCCTCTCATAATTTACTCTCTTTTACGAAAATCCACATTGTAATAGAACAGAACAAGTATCATCTGTCATGATCTCTCTGTCTTTCATCCAAATTACAAGGAAACAGATCTCGTAGCATTTCTCATAATTTACTCTCACACTCACGCGAGCCCACGCATACACACAAAAACTCCACAAGATTTATAATCGTGCCATGTGATTGTGTTTGTTCCTTATATAAATTTTAGGCTCAAACAATAATCTCAAGTAGCAATTTTGAAAATAATTATAAAAGAGAAGAAAAAAAAACAGTTATGTTTGCCTTCACAGTAAGAAAGGTAAATTAAATAGTCCTTGCTTCAATTAATAAAATTTATGCGAACCCAATTGATGATCCAAATAAGCCAGCTCAAGGAATCTGTATTGCTGATACCACATCTAATCCCACAAAAAGAGGGATTTTTTCAAGAGAATCAATAAATAAAGCAAGTTATAAATTTGGGTCCTTGGCCTTGGATCTAGAAAATGGACGGTGGGAATGGCCCTGCATACCCTTCCCCTGGGGAGACAAACCTCGAGTACATTAACCTATCCACAGGTACATTTATATACAATTTTCCAGTCAATATATGAAAATAAAGCATTGGAAATATTTCATAATGAAAGAATCCCAAGCAACATAAACAAAAAAAGAAAATTCCCTTACATGTACGTCACAAAACTAATTCTAATTCCAGGACTTGGAAATAAAAATGGTTATTTCTTGGAAAGCAACAGACTTGAGCTTTTCATGCCCATGCAACATAGGGCCAAACGACCAGATGCACAAGGGGATTACCATCTGCACGAGGTTTTGCTATCTGCAACTATGTACGAGGGAGGAAATCCTAGTCCCTTGGATCTTTTCATATTTCCGCCCACCATCTAGGGCGGGAAAAGCAAAAACATTGGTGCATTTAGCAAAACCTTGAGTAAAAATAACAAATGACCCCCAAATAACCGTAAACCCACCATTAAACATGGGATGGAGATAGATCACTCCTATGAGAGCACTGATGTCTTGAGTGATAAAATCACTGTTTTTCAGCTGTGCATCCCCTCATGCTAAGCAAAAGGGTGCGATACAGGTTGGACAACAAATAATATATTAGCTCTCCTTATTAGGAACTTGGCCTCATCTCTGCCTTATCAATGAGCTCTTTAGGGCATTCGCAACATACACCTAGGTAATGATCCAGTACATTTCCCAATGCCTGCATAACATATCAAGACATAAGAATCAAAATCCATGACGAGCCCTAACAAAATTAACTAGAATCTTATGAAGCATGGTAGAGGATCTATTTGTAATTATAATTTCCTTTTAGAATATTTTCTTGTATACATAACTCTTCTATGGACCCATTTGAATTAATTACTTGTCATTTTTTGGGTATGTAGTTCAAGTAAACTAGCAATATTTTTCACGGGTCATGGAGGACGTGATCCTAGAGAAGCTACATTAGCATTAACCAAATACCTGCTAAACTACTTGTTTCCAATTCCTGATAGAGCAATGCTCCAAATGCTAGAAAGAACAGCAGCACCCTCTCAGCTTTAAACCAAACTACAAATACATAAAGGTCACCATCAACCACAGCATCCACTTAAGGATTGCCATCAAACTAACTCCGATTAATCTTACATGCAACTGCATCCACCATTAATCACACACTTACAGCAAAATGCATTTAAGCTGCAAGGTGGAGACTGCTCCTTGAACACAAAGGTTTTTACGTAGATTCCATTTGGGGTGAGCCAAAGCTGAAATCAAAGATCTCATTAAGATCCAGGACTTTTATCTCCACGGACTTTTCCTATTTCAGGTGCCTCAGGCTCTCCATGGACGTTTCCTATTTCAGGTGCCTAAGGCCCCCAACTCATGTTATGAAGTATGGTGACGAATTTAAACTCCAAATTTATTATTAATTATGTTTGGGTTTAATCAGATCAGAAAAGTAAGAGACTTTTTTATTCTTTTAAGTTTGTCCTTTCCAAATGAGTAGTTGGAGTTAGTTTCTTTTTATGTTTCAAGTGCTCTAGAAGATTGTGCTGCGGATGAGTTGCTAATTTATAAAGAATCTAATTTCATCATTTTAAAGGGTTTAAATTTTTAGGAATCCTAGATCGCTTGGAACCCGCGCTAACCCATGGCCCTAAAGTTGACATTTAGTTGAGGATAAAGTTTAATTTTGCTTGATGATTTGAAGTCCTTCATCACCTCTTTTCCCTTATCCCACCACCCAACCAAAACCCTAAGAAAAACCACTCACATCATCCCAAAATGCTTTTGTAAATCCAAAGCACCTAATTAACACTACCTATATACCTTCCATCCCCAGTCTTCTCTATCCTAAAACAATTCCTAGATGCCCTCCTTTTATCCTTGCATACCGTTAAACTGTAGCTAAAACCCTAAACTTTACCTTAAGATCACCAGAACCTCCCCCATATATGTAACCCAAATCTTACCCCCTTTATGCCTCCTGTCATCTGCTGCTATGTCCTAATCAAATGTAGGAGCCCTCAACACATCCAAAACTCTGTTGCACTAAACTTTGTAAGAAATCTAAGTCCTTTTGAAACTCCTAAATCCCAACCTAAATAGAATTCTCAAACCTACCCCAAACCATTTCTTTCTAAGCCTTCCTGAGTGTTAACACTCATTTAGAAACCAAGCCCACTAAAAAGGAGGTGATATGGAGATGAAATGTGCAGCCTTACTGATTGAAAGTAAGGAGATAAATTTCACAATGGTGTTTGCTTCTTTAATAAAAGATATGATGCTTTAAAAAAAAACAAAAACAATAAAAAAGATTTAATGAAAGATACGATGCTTGCCACTCCTGCTTTTTACTGCTCTAATCTTGTTAAGTACGTCATGTGCAAACCATAGAAAATCTCATAAACCACAAAATGGAGAAGTACCAGAAATCCAAATAACTCTTTCACTAAAATCTGACAAAACCACAAAGTGGAGAAGTACCAGGAACCCAAATGACTCTTTCCCTTTCAAAATGGCATCCATTGCAGCATATTGATCATCAAATATGCCATAGAATTGCCTGTAGAATTCTTTCCTGAAGGATAATGCATTGGAGAAATAAATTACAGAAAATAATTTATGCCAAAAGTTACAGTAGTAAACATGTAACTCTTGAAAAAAGTTAATGTACGCATTCACAAACAGAAAATTAGAATAAAATTATTACGGAAACAACAAAAGACAGTTTAAGATGTTTAAATAATTCCAATGAGATGGATAATATCTTGCACACTCACTGGTCCACTTTCTTGACTTGTATATCCATCTCATCAAACTTCTGTGTAAGAACTTCAGCAGCTGCTGGTGAAAGCATGTGCAGGATGAGTGTCTCCAATGACCTTGGGAACTTACTCTGAAAAATAGAAAAAAAAAAAAAGACTTTGACCAATCCTTTGAATCATATGCAAGTCATAAAACGGTGTGTTCTTGAAGTCTAAAATAAAAAGAAAATCTGAATCTAAAATGAAAAGAACATCTGTCACTTATCAAGAAACATTTATCATTTGCATGTGTTAAGAGAACATCCAGTAAAAAGTGAAAACAGTGATAGGATCTACAAAGTTAATGCCCAAAATGTGAACTGCATTATTTGCACAAGTTTCACCAAGAAAATGAAAAAAGTATAATCTCAGTTAGAAGGAACAGCTCTACTAAACCAAAAGCAACAACATTCACCATGGCCGTGCTCATGATACGTTCCTTCCTGATTCAGGAAAGGTTGAACATTTACATAGTTGCAAAATTTTACCACTGAAGTTCTAATAGAATCACAAACTTCTTTTTCCTTTATAAGTACAGATAAAACAGGAAATTCCAAAGCATGAAAGTTATCTTATGTAAGGCACAAATGCATGCCTAATAGAGATTTTGGATTTTGGAAACTTGTTATTATAATTACCGCTATGTCTAACATCATCACAGCCAATAAGTTGGCTGATTTGTTGGCACTACACAGTTATAGGATTTGATATTCACAAGTTTCCCATTTTGCAACATTTGTCTAATCTTTTAACAGTTAAAATGACATTATAACTTGTGCTTATTAATCCTTATTTTTCGACCCATCAATGGGAATATACATGTTGTACGAAAGGGGGAGCAGCTCAGCTTAGTTTGATTGGGGAGAAACTTCAAAGGTCAAAAATAAGACAATTGCCGACCTGCTGCAGAATGTCCCCAGTCCGTAGTTGTAAAATCATGAACCATAAGGGCAAAAGAAGAATACGACTCACCACCATCGCGAGCAAGACATTTTGGAGCTTGACTGGTTCAAGGTTCCAGAGGATTTTAGCAACTACATCATCTTCCAAGGAAAAGGAATCCACTTCAGTAACCAACCTTGGTGCAACTTCACCATTAAGATCCCCAGCTAAACCTTGCTCTCCAATGTTTGAATGCATTTGACTCTGACCAGAAGCACCGAAATTGTCATGAACAAACGAAACAAGTTCACGAAGAGATTGAAGTTCGATTGGATCAAGCTGGAACTGTTCTATCCCAAGTTGGTTCACATTCATATAGCCTCTTGAGCATGTGGTGGCCAGCTCATTGTTCACTGAAAAATTAACGATGAGATTATTTTTAATTGACAGAAAAGCCAGGAGGCAATGCATGCATGCATCCTCAAAATAAGATTCAAGTAAAAATATGAATGCCTGCAGAACAACTGCAGTCAGTTAATGTTTATTTTCCATGACTCCGCATGGACTACTAAGCCACCAAAGAAAATAATTTTAGCCCCACAAGTTAATGATTGAAAGTGAAACACATCAGAAAGAAACCAACAACCAAAGGATACAGAATTGACACTTGATATCTCACCTTCCTTTACTCCAACATTAGGCTGCATGGAAATGTTTACTCCAAAATTCTTATTACCAGCTGAACTTGGGTTCAACATTTGCTTCTGTCCTATTTTTACAAGATTATCTCATCAACATTATCAGAATACGCACGATTTCAAACAAACGGAAAGAAAAGGTTTATCCTTACTTTATAGGATCATAGTGCAAAGATGATTACCGTTTCTTTATCCACTAATCTGTTTCCGTCAATGAATTGCAGGATCATTCAAATATGAGACAGAACAAGAAATTTTAATTAGGGGCGTAAAGTAACAATGCCCGAAATGTCAATGACAGTATATATATCAGATTATAACATACCGTAAATATATACAATCTAGATGAGGTACCAAGACTAAAAATAAAAAACAAAATACCTTTTCACTATTCTCCGCAGGTAATAAGCATCCATGTGCTCCAGCAATCTTGATATCATATCAGACTGCCACCATATATTGACAGCAATTGTCAAGTCATCACTGTCCACTTGATGAAACCTGCAAAACCCCATGTTATGAGTAATTAATATGATAATCCGACCAACATTGCATGCTTGATTTTCACCATGTAATATTGCATCATGTAATCCTTGGTAGATTCCTACTTTGATGCATTGGACAGTCCTTCAACTAGTCAAAAAAATTCTCATGGCCCTTTTGACCCAATCAGTCTATCATTTGACTACCCCCTTTATGATATTCCACATCCCAAGGTCATAGGGAGATCTAGGAGGGGAAAGCCAACATTTTGAAGGAGTTTATTTTTAGTCAGTTGCTATTTTTTCACAGTGTCTTAATGACTTCCAATGTTTTAACAAAAGTTACGAGCAATTTAGCGACCTTTTATATTTTAATTTAAGTGAAGAGACTTATTAGGAATTCTTATAATGTTTTAACTTAAGTGAGGGTAGTTTTGGTCTTTTTTATTAGGAAAAAGTTTATATATAGAGCCGAGCCTCTAAACAATCAAATTAGAGCCCACCTCAAAAACTTCACTAGAAGAGGTTGTTTTGATGCCCAAATATCCTCAAATTGATCATCTCGACATCAAGATGCATGGACATGAGAAAAAAATGGATTTCAAATTTTGGAAATGGTACATCTTGTAATGCATTTTTGGACCGTCAATTTTCAAGATTTTAAAGTTTTCATAGATCTGCTCGATCTACACTATATTTGAAGCTTTGAATTTTATAATAAAAAATGAAAATATATTTTTAGGCTATCACAAAGATTTCCACCATTGAAACCAAATTTCTCGATATTATTTGGAGGTGCGCTTTACTTTGAGCCTCGGCTCTATACAAACCACACCCTTTTTATTATAATGTAATAAAAGGGCCCAGGGTGTTAGCGTTTCTAACACTTGTTGGGGCGTGAACAATAAAAAAGGGGTGTGAACAGTACCAACAGGCCCTATCTAGGGTTTTGGGGTAACTTCTTTGTGCAAGGAAAGCCAAATCCACAGAAACCTGACCTGCTTTGATGGTTTACAAAACTGTGTTTTGCCTTTTTTCTCTATTTCCTGCGTCAATTCATCAAAGTTTTCTATTTCAATAAGGCTTCTAAAAATAGTGACAAAGTTAACATTCCTAATTATTTTCGGATGTAGTCCATCGTCATTGGGTCTAAATTATTAACTTGTCGTAGTCTACTATTTATCTTATTCTCTTTGCCATAGAAATATAATTCTAGACATCTTGGTTGATTGTTTGTGGGTAACAATTGTGGTGCATAATGGTACACCTGACCTCTAATTTTAAATGTATTAGACTCCTTTTCCTTTATAGATGTTGTCCATTTTATCAAAAACCAAATTATTGTGAATTGGAACGTAGAGTTGTATCCACATTATAGCTCCATACTTAAAAAAGCACGCAAGTGCACACACACACGCCCGTGCAAACACACACACATAAGCAGACAAGTTTACAACATTGAATAATGGAAATGCATGTCTAGTTACCCATGATGATCATGCTTCAACATCATTAAAACGTATGTGATGCATTCAAACTCATTGAACCAAAATATGAAGAATTCAACAACGCACCATCCTTCAGGAATGAAAAGGGCATCACCAGCATGTAGAATGACTTTTTTCGAAAGGCCCATAATATCAGTCGAAGCGCCAAATTTATTTATGTCAACAGCACTGCAGCCCAAACTTCCAAAATTTCAGGAAGTACACTTCAGAGAAATATCTTGAAGCTCATGCATCATGTAAAAATATTTAGAACATAAACGGAACACAATAATAATAAAATATAGAGAAGGAATGGCACACCTGTGATTGGAAGCTTCCCCATAAACAGCCATTAGTTTTAGAGAGGGAGTTGCAGAAGGTGGCCATAAAACAACTGTGATTCATTACCAATGTATCATTCCAAAAAAACTATTAAATGTATTCAAATTCCAAACAAATTTAAACATCAAACATCCAATTAAAGGTCCAACTATTATTTGAAACATGAGAGGAAAAAAAAGGCCATTTATTCCCTTTGTTGCAAATAAATGAACATGGTTAAGTCTATCACGTGCGGTCTACTTATCAATTGATCAATCCATATACACATAAATGAATATGCACATAAAAACATGCATACTGGCAATATACATGCAAGTAAGTATGTATGCATTACTAGATATATAATTACAGACAAATTTTAACACATGCACATGCATAAAGGTATTATATGCATTTTTGTGCATCTGCGTCTTGCCTAACCCAATAAATAACAATCCTCGTACAGGTACATTTTGAAAATACGAACCCCAAAAATACATATCCGATGTCAATAAGGAAGGTACAAACTTGCATGCACAAAAGTTGAAGGGCGTGACATCCCTTTGTGTACCTTGTTTTCATCAAGCCGCATAAGGCTTTATTCATCTTTCTCTTGATAACTATCATTTTGTGAAGTTCATTATAAAATAAGTAATCCCCAAGATTTATAACAAGGGTGCATACTGGCATCATATAAGAGAGCAAAAGATACTAAGGTCTCATATGACATATCATTTTAAGAATATACCAAATTAAATGAACATTTCTAAATTGAAATTCAGAACTACCTTGCTTGCATCCCGTGACTACACATAAAAGGTTATGATGTGGATCATAGTGAGTACTCGATCTTGATTGAGCTTTATTCATCCAGAAGTTGATGGATGAAATAGATTTTCTTTCCAAAAGCAGAGGCTGCACAAGCAAATAGTGAAGCATTCAAAAATCACAATTCACTTTCGTAGCAGTCGTGACAAATGGCTAATGAAATTTTTCTGTACGGTAACTTTTGTAGAGAGGAAATGGAAGATGGAATTCTGAACATTTGTAACCTTCATCAGATCTCATGTGGCCCAACAGTACAAGAAAATACATAAAAATATATCTGGAAAGATTGTATGCTCCTACATAAGCAAAATGCACATTTGCTCTCTCAAGCAAAACCCTGACAATAAGGAAAAGGGGCTGAGGTCGTGGTGGTAGCACAACCCATACCTCAATTTCACATTGTGGCTTCCATTCCCACTGACAGCTTCAAAAAGCAAAACCCTGGCAATAAGTATTTTCAGGACCCAATTTTTAAGGACATGACCTACTCAAACTAGCAATCAATCTAAAAGAAAAAACTACAATACACACTCTGGAACTGCACAAAAGAAAAGCATGCCATACGATTGCACGCAAACTGCCCAAGTTTCGGACAGTCAAATCTAGGTGTTCAGGTGCTAACTTCTATTATCTTTTTTTTTTCTTTTTTTTTTCAAAATACTCATCTCATGGTTCTAAAGTGGATCCCAAAATTTCACATCAAGAAGATCCTCCTGTGTATGTTATTTGTCTGAGAGTAAACGTAAAATTTGCTCCAGTGGGAGCATAGTATATACATACTAAAAGTTTACTCATAAAATAATCATGTATAGAAGAACCTTGTTGTCTAAAAATATGAGCAACGAACATGCATACCACTTGAATATCCCCTTGAAGGGGTGCTAATGGAGACTTGTCAGGGTCCTCAGCATTCAAAATAGGAACCTGTGTCAAGAAACCAGCCCAACATTAGAATGTTCGTGAAAAATCCACATGAAATAGGCTGTGAAATTTGCAGAAATGTCACCATGGATCTCATACTCCTAGAAAATCTTAGCATACATAAAAAGATTATGGTGCTACAAATGTGGTACACAAGGTGGTAAAACGATTTGTGTCCTAGGAGAAGTTAGGCTAATTTGCAAAGACTTTAGGGGGAACTGCAAGAGGCACACACGCAAATGTGCATCACAGGCCAGTAAATTCCTAATCCTTCTTTAAACTTTAACATAATTTAATGGGGCAAAAGAGAAACTAATAGGCACCTGCAACAGGGGGAACGTAGATTATATCTTCTACATAACAAGTAGTATAATTATTGTAGATACTTTTCTCCTTTTTTTTTTGGAGATACATTTATATTTATACATATAATCATGTTTAGTTGATTTGCTATACATATGAAGCCTCGAAATGTTTTAATAACTTTTAAAAATAATCAATACATAAATTTATCTTACAGATTTTATATTATGTATCCTTTCAATCACATTTCACAGAAGTTGTTGTACCAAACACTCTAACCATTGTTCACATGAAAATTACAAAAGCCAAATATAGTTGGTAAACAGAGAAGATCCAAACATATGCCGTGAGTTTTTCAACATTCCATGACCATTTGCTAATAAAACGGAAAGCCAAGACGTCATCTTTCTTAGTAAGTAGCTAGGACTCCATCTTCGCATTTGTTTACAGAGTTTTCACAATACACAATAAATGTTTCAGAAACATTAATCGACGGCATTAGGTCATTTAAAGCTTTAAAACAAGATTACAAAACTAATACTCAATTAACAGCCTTAACTGAGTTAAATAATGCTTGCAATCTTAACAACACGGATGTCTGCCCAGGAGTACTTAACCGCCGTGGAAGATGGGTCAGCATGGATTTCGAGGATGACCACTGTGAGCTTACTCTCCCACATACTAGGAACGAGATTTCAGTTAGTTGTGGGCCAAGAAAGGGAAAACCCCAGTGAAGCAGCGGCCATGACTGAGTGTTCTCAGTTAACTGTGGCTAAGGATCAACCTTTGCCTTATAACTTCATAAACCAATCAAAAACACGTCACTCATCGAGAATGATGCTTCATGATCTTCCAATAGAACGAGAACCTACTCCCCAGTCTGATAACTGCGTTTAATGCTGAGGCAATAAATGGAGTTTCTAAGCCTTGGCAAGCAGAGAACTCAGAGGTGTAGAGATGGAGACTCAACCAATTGGAAACCACTAAGAAGCGACTGCCACTCGTGACCAAAGTCGCTTAAACACTGACATCCGAAGTACCAAAATCTCTTAGTTGCTATACTGCAAACATAAGGTGAACCTTCGGTTTCGAAATCCTTTTTGGTTGTGCTTCAAAAATGGACACAGAGTCACAGGATGCAACCACTGTCTTTGAAGTATTAGATGCCCAGGACATAAAATATCTTTGTGATCCAATTGAGGCTTGGGTGAATATACTCCCAGGATAAAACTGAACAGAGTGAAAAAGTCATTACATAATTCTCAGAACTGCACACTCTTGAGATCCTTCTTCAGACTACACGACCCAATAGGGGTTTTGGCTAAAACTAATAGATTGGTGAGTGAGAATTACCAAGAAACAAATCTCTCTGAAAATGGCTGAGAGCCATTGAGAAATCTCAGTTTCTCAGTTAACCGTGACAAAAACTCACACAAGCATAGTTTCAGCTCTTTGATTAAATTTTCATCCAGTCTCCAACTAAAAATAGGGGCATTTATAGAGATGAAATTCATTTTTCATCTACTGTAGATACAACAGAGCAGGTAGGGTTGGTTGTAAAGGACACCAAGAGTCACAATCTCAAAAAATCACAATTTATAAAGAAGGCAGGGTTAGGTAGCATAACTGCGGCCAATGCTCGGTATCCCCTGCTATAATAACGGTGACAAAGCACCAGGGATAATCTGGTTAATCTAACTGCTCTCAATGTATTTCAGGTAAGAAAACTGAATTTGATTTGTTCAAAATTGTCTTGCCACACTGATAAACAGAAAGATCGTTCCAAACATTCTTCTATACTGATCAGACATGGACAATAGATGGTTCTTCCATCAATGCTTATTCAAAAAAAAAAAAGGATACCTGATGGTTCTTCATGGTTCTTGTGCAAACACCCAAAACTTTGATTAAGTTGGTTTGAAACACTGAATAATAAATTTTAAATCCTTTCCAAACTAACATAAAGCATAACCAGTAAGCAGATAACTGCATTACCTGTGCCAAATAAGCCTGATAAGAAGTTTCTCCATCACTTTCACAGTTACCAACAGAATCAACTGGTTCGCTTGTGAACGCATTATTTGGAATCATTTGAGCAACTTGAAGATTTCTGGACTTCTCAAAACGCAATTTGCAGGAGCTGATGAAGCTAGAAAATTGCAAAGGAATCTTCGAAGCAAAGGCTATGACATAAGTTTCTTTTGAATTTAATTAAATAAAGCAACATAAAGACAACAATAACTAGGGAAATTTTATATGAGAAGCAAGGCTTCAAAAACATACCCTTTCATGGCTTCCAATATCACCATAAAATACAGAACCTGATCTAGACAGCATGGCCTCTACAACAGAAGACCCAACTTTGTCCTGCATTTTTCCGATTAATAAATTTTCAGTATGAAAATGGCAAAAACGAAAAAAATTTATGTAGATGGAGAATGCGATTATAAGACCACAAATATTAAAACCAAAGATTAATGATACAAATTCTCCTGAATTTCAATTCCTCCACTTTAAATTATTTATTCATGATCAACAATAAAGAAATACATTGATATGATGAAACGAAAAAAGAATTCCCCAATGAAGCAATCACCAATGGCCCCAATTCTAAACTAAAGGGGAAAATTTTAAAACCCACTAACCCATTCAGTCTAAAATGAAATGCTCAACTGATCGATGTACAGTTTATTCAACAAAAATTAAATAACACGATAATTATCAAGCAAAAAAAAAAAAAGACCATACATATGAATTAAACACGGAAAAGAACAGGACCTGCAAGTAGTCGAGACCACCATTTGAAGGATTCCACTTAGTAAAAGCTTCCCATTCCCTCACGAGGCCAAGGAAAACCTAGAAAATCCACAGAAGAGAAGAGAGCGACACCAATGAAAAATACGGATTTCTGAAAAATAAAATATAAAATAAGATAAACTAAGCATAAAGGAAATTAAAATTACAGCTGGGATATTTTTATCCTCTATGAGAGAGGAGAAATCCTGAGAAGAAGGGATATCATTGTATGCGTGGATGCTCAGGGTATCCATTTGCGATTCTTCCTCCATCTTCACGCTAAACGAAGGTTTAATAGAACCCGGCAAAGTTTATATAAGTGCGGGGCTCTAAACAATTAAATTAAAGAGCACCTAAATAATTTTCAGAAGAGTTTGCTTTTGATGCTCAGCCACCCTCAATTTGACCATCTCGACATGCCGATGAAGGAAAAAGTTTATATAAGGATGCAACCTTATAACGCAGAACAACGGATGCACTTCAAAGATCCGAGCGGAAAAGGTCGTTTTAATGTCTACGATAAATAAAAAGATTTTAAGTCTCACAAATATTATATTTTACAACATCTTATATAGTTCATTTTCAAGATTTTCATATTTTTATATATTTATTTGATTTTAACTATTTTTTAAATTTAAAATTTTATTATTAGATATAAAAATAGATTTTGAGATAATCCTAAGAATATTTTACATCAAATTATATACCATGATAAAATTTGAAGGTGCACCTTACCTCTACAGCTACATATGCATCTGTATGCCAACTGCACCTGACGATGAATGGACAAAAGAAAAAAAAAATAGATTTTATGTTTTTGAAAACGATGTTTTTGATACATTTTTGGACAATCAATTTTCAAGATTTCATAGATATGTTCGATATACATTATTTTTTTCAGCTTGAAATATTATAATTAGAGATGAAAATATATTTTAAGGCTATCACAAAGATTTCCGATATTGAAACACAGTTCTTGACACTATTTAAAGGTGTGCTTTATTTTGATTATTTAGAGCCTCAGCTCTATACAAACCGCTCCCTTAGTTTATTAGGGATGATGGAAATGAGCCTCTTTAAAAATTAACTAAAATATCCCTAGAGTGCATCAGGGTTTCACTTCAAAGTTGGTTTGACTGCAAAAATTAGACCGATAGGGGGGAACTGGCTTATAGAAAATCCAATTTGATTCAATTTGAATCGGACTAATTCTGTAGTATGAGAAACCACCTATAAAAATAAAAAAATAAAAAAATTAAAATTAAAATATAAGAATTGGGCAATTCAACTGAGAGACTCGTCTCGCTTGGTTCCCCAATAGAATTGTGAGAATATTTATACCCAAAATTTCGGTAGAGAAGCACAATCTCCACCTTATTTCATGTGTAAACTCCATCGATTAGAGGGTAGATTATTGGGTTTCATCGAATTATGAAATTATGGAAAATTGATCAAACTAGCTTCTTTTTAGTGATCCACCGGCCACGCTAGCTTTAAATTGCCAATAAATAAATAAAAATCAAAAAAGCAAATTTTAGAAAAATTAGAAAAGAACAAGGGGAGCGGTGGAAAAGGCCTCATAAATAGAACAATACAATTAATTAAACATAATAAATATATAAAATTGAAATAGATAGACATAGGGCCTACTTAGAGTGAAACTGGCCTACATGCCCGGCGCCCAGAGTTGGCGGCCCAAAGAGTCGGTGCGAGGGAATCATTCCCATTGTGGATTTGAAAACCTGAACGAGAGACCCTCAATCTTGAGATTTCTTCTTTCTGAGTAAGAGTAGAAGCCTTTTGAAGCGAATATGAACCACTGTAGGCGTAAGTCTAGGCTTTTGGGGTTTTGGGGTTATTGTAGTTGTAGTGGGAACTAAGGGACCTAGGAGCTCGGGTTAGATCAAGATCAAGGTTTAAGGGAGATAGAGGATTTCTTAGGTGTTCAATTTTTATCTCTCTTACACCTAGAAAGAGGGTTTTCAGTTAGTTCTCTTCCTCTTCATTTTTTTTTTTTTTGGTGCAAGTTTGTAAAAATTTGATGCTCTAAAACAATCAAAGTAGATTTCACTTTCAAATAGTGTTGAGAAATGTGGTTTCAATACTGAAAATCTTTGTGATAGCCTTAAAATATTTTCGTCTCTAATTATAAAACTTAAATCTTAAAAAATAATGTAGATTGAGCTGATCAATGAAAACTTAAAAATCTTGAAAATTGACCGTCCAAAAATGCATTACAAGATGCACTATTTCCAAAAGCTGAAATCTTTTTTTTCTCATGTCCATTCATCCTGAGGTCAAGATGATCAATTTGAGGATATTTGGGCATCAAAATAACCTCTTTTAGTGAAGTTTTTGAGGCTTGCCCTAATTTGATTGTCTAGAGCCTCGCACTTATATAAACATTTTTCCCTTTTTTTTTTTTTTTGGTCGTTGTGTGTCAAAAGAATGGGTACTTACATTAAGTAGAATGGAGTTTTCTTTGTGGTAAATGATTTTAAAGATAGGGGGGTTAACGAAGGGGGATTCATGAAGCTAAGACCCACTTCAATACATCTAATTTTTATTGGGATTATTTTTAAAGCGACTATTTATCTTTTGTACATGGAGGTCACAATCATTCTTGTCCATTGAATTTCAAAATGATTGGTTGTAGGAGTGATTTGTTCTAATTAGGCAGGTTTACATTACAGTTAGATTAATTAAGCAAGCCTAGCTAATGGACTAAGTTAGATAAGTTTGGGATTTTAACTATAGGAGTTTAAGCCCAAATGAAGTGGTTTAGGGGTTAACTAATTGGTCCACAATTAATTATGGTGTATGGTAGGGTGTGTGGAGAATCTGAGTACGAGCACTATGGCGTACCACGATAGTATGGTCCCTGTGTGGTTTAGGCTAGGAAAATGGGTGTTTGGAGGGAACGAAAATTAGGGTTATGTTTGGAATGGGTTCAGGAAAGTTCTAGACTAGGTTCTTATGGTTTCGAGGGCTATTGGTTTCTTAGAAATTCCTCAATTGGAAAATTTTGATTTTTACATAAGTTATTTAGACCGTCTATTTTCAAGATTTCCAAATACAAGATATACTTCATCTGCACTATTCTTAAAATTAAAAATCTCATAATTAGGTTAAACGTAGACTTTCAAGCCATCAAAAGGTTTTCAACACCAAAACTACATCTTCCAACAAAATTTCGAGGTATGCCTTATGTGTATGAGTATGGTGGGTACCTAATACAAACCTCACCCTTTTTAATATTTCCATTTACATTTTATTTTCATTTATTTATTTAAAGGGTCAAATTATGGTTAATATTAATTAAGGGTTATTGAAGGTGATTAGAGGCCTAATGATGTTGGGAGGTCCCCTAATCTAATATCTAGGCATATTAATAAATTTTTTAAGTGGTTAGGTCTAATTAGGAAGGTATTAGCCTAATTTATAAGGTTTTTTAAAGGTTGAGGGCTTGAGGCTTATCATAAAAGATTACACTTAACTAACTCGTCTTAGGTTAATAAAGTGTGGTTTCTCAATAGTGGGCTTCAATGGCATTTTATATTTGTTAGTAGGAAAAATATTTCCAGATCCCCTATTTTTATGTTTCATGTTTTGATAAACACAAGGTTTCAAAAGATATCTTCTAACTCCTTGACCACTTTAAACCTATTTTTTAACTTAAACAAATATGAGAAAGGCATACTCTTTCTAAACCCAATCATTTATCTCTCTTCACTTGTGTACCCCAAACTTCTCTCTTTCTCTCTCTTCCTGCATCTCTCTCACTCTCTCTCTTTTTGTCTTCCCGTCAAACTTAAAAAAGGCACATTTTTTCTAAACCCTTATCTCTCTTCCCATTCTCTCTCCCCCTATCTCCCCAACCCCTCTCCTCTCCGTATTCCCCTATTTTTTCTCTCTCAGTGCTCTCTCTCTTTCTGTATTCTACTATTTTTTTTCTCCCAATCCTCTCTCTTTTTTTACATTTCCCGTTCTTTTTCTCTCCCCTGTCTACACTCTCTCTCTTCCCGTGTCTTCTTCCCCGATCTTGCTCTCTTCATCTCCCAAACCCCTCTCTCTCTCTCTCTCTCCCATTATTACTTTTTCCCTTGCTCTCTCTTTTTATTCTCTCTGTCCTATCTCTCTTTCTGTATTTCTCATTCTTTTCTTCTCCCGTCGTCTACACTCTCTCTCTTCCCGTCGTCTTCTTCCCGACTCTTGCTCTCTTCATCTCCAACCCCTACCTCTCTCTCTCTCTCTCCCATTATATTTTCCCTTATTTTTTATCTCTCTGTCCTATCTCTCTTTCTGTATTTCTCATTCTTTTTCTCTCCCCGTGTCTGCCACTCTCTCTTCATACCCAACTCTTTCTCTACAACATAAACGTTTAAAATTATATGGAGAACAAAAATAGACCACAAAGCTTCAATAGACGTAAGTAAATATTTTCAAGAACAAGTATAAATATGATTCTCAAAAGACAGTCTTTGAGCTTTCAAAGGTTCCTAAAACATATCCTCTGAGCTTTTAGAGGCAGACAAATTGGGTTCTGCAATTTGTTTATCAAATGATCATTGGTTGGGTTTTGCAATTTATCTATCATGAGGAGAGAGAAAGAGTTATGAGAGCATGGAAAAGAGAGAGAGAGAGTGAGAGACACGGGAAATAAAATAGAGAAAATATGAAGAGGGCTTTGGCAAATGAGAGAGAGAAAACGTGAGTTTGGCAGATGGGAAGGGAGAGAGGTTTAAAAAGGGATGATGATTTTTAGAAAATACATGTCTTTTTAGGTTTGCTTGACTTAAAAAAACAGGTTTAAATTAACTCGCGGGGTTAGAATAAAAAAAATCTACAATTTTTGTACTCCAAGATATCTTTTAATACCTTGGGTTTATTGCGAAATAAAACCTAAAAATATGAAGTATGAAAATATTTTCTATTGTTAGTAATAGCGCATGGAGATTGGGATTGTATGGATCATAATTATCTCTCTTTGAATTAAGAACCCACTAATGAGTTAAGAACCCTTTGCAGCGTAACAATTTCATTTGCTTCCAGGGTAGTACGATCCCCCCTATCAAAGACTCCTAGCATGTCACACGAGGATTCTTTAGTAGTGAAGAGATCACGTTTTGGGGTCATATGACTTGAACAATATTGAATCTATGTACCATTATTGGTCTTTGCTCTCTTGCCTAAAACTAACACAAAGTACTTATTATCTTCCTAAGCTTCTTTTTCCTCCCTCTATATTTCTTTGATAATATAATTTTCTTGCTTATGTCAACAATTTATATTTTTTATCTTTCTACAAGTGTATTATGAACCTTTCTTTGATTTGGGGGCTTTGCGAGACTCACTTTTGCTCATTATTGTGAGATTGTGACTGGGAATCTTAATTATTCGGGGGCCTTCTTGAACAATAATATCTTCCTCAACCACAAGACCTCCCGTGAGAATCAGCAAACAAAGCGCCTCATTATGGTTTTGCACTTTTTTGAGGTGTAATTGTTCGACTCCAATTACCTTCTTTTAAGTAATGCTTATGGCTTCTTTTATGGATGATTTGGATTTTTTATCATCACCCCCATTGCATTAAAAATGTCTTTAAATTTTTAAAGATAATGGCAACTCGGGTGTTATTCTCCATCTTAACACCGATTCCTTCACAAAGATATTTCACTATTTTAGAAAAATATGTGACGGAGTCATTACCTTGCTTACATGCCCGTAAAGATGGCGAGTAAGAATGCCTCAGTAGCCTCGCTCGTCCTGTTTAACCGACCCTGGGCTTCTTTCATTGTTTTTACCTTCCTCATATGGAAGAACATATTTGGCCCACATGATATCTGAATTGCATAAAGAGCGTTGCCATTTTATTTCTTTTATGGCACAACCCATCATGAGCAGTTGATCTTGGTTCAGTTCCATCCATGGATCTTGCTTTAACAAATAACTCCTCAACCACATTGTTCGATCTCTATTATTTTATGGAAATTTCGGAAACAATAGCACTTGATGTCGACATAACAATATTTCTTTTCTCCCTTTTTTTTTTTTCTTTTATTGGCAATAAATTATCAACTATAAAACGTTGTAAAGAAGAAGTAGCATCTATTCACCAAGTCCCAAGTCTTAAGAAGCTAGCACTGATACCATATTAAAAATATGCACGGAAGGTTTAGGCGTTTAAGTTTAGCCAAGGGGGGAGTTAATTGTCTTTCTTTGGTAGTTAATTTTTTTTGGAGCGATTCCTTTTGCCTCATGTATTATTTGTAACTTTTTGTCTTATTAATAGGTGCCTGTGTTTATGTTAACAAAAAAAAAATATTAAAGTGTTGACAAGTACGACGTGATGTGCACACATATGAAAAAATTGGGTGGAAAGATAACGTTTTATTTTAAAAATATTTAGCTTCGATAGGCCATTGCACTCTCTCTCTCTCTCCAATTTCCTTTTAGGCCCAAGGACCTTGGACACTCTACTCTCTTGACCCAAAACTCTACTCTCAAACCCCGGCATATTACCTCACGTCTCTCTCTTTCTAAAACCCATCTCTCTCACCTCACCGATCACTACTCATTTAGTAGGACAATGTAGACCCTTATTTTAATCCTACTGGCCCTAGGACTCCAACTAGATATCCCTTGACATATAAAATTATCTTGATCCCAACTTTATCCTAGGCTAATTATCTATCTAATAGAACTTAATCTCAGTAATACTTATCTTTAACAATCGAAATCGATTGTGTTTTTTAAGGGCTCCGCCATGCTTTACGGAGGGCTCATCTTTCACTAAAATGGGAGTGCTTGCCTACGGGTGTGGTTTGTATTAGGTTGAGGCCCTAAATAATCAAAATAAGATGCACTTTTAAATAGTGCCAAAACATATTGTTTCATTATCAGAAACCTTTGTGATGGCCTAAAAGTTTCTTTTCATCTCTAAATATAAAATTTAAATATTTAAACATAGTGTAGATCAAGCAGATATATGAACACTTGAAAATCTTGAAAATTAACGGTTTAGATAATACATTACAAGATGCATTATTTTCAAAACTTGAAATCTATTTTTCTCATGTCCATACATCTTGGCGTCGAGATGATCAAATTGAGGGTTTTTCTCCATAGAAGCAATCTCTTGTAGTTAATTTTTGAGGTGTGCCTTAATTTGATTGTTTAGGTGCTCTTCTTGGTTTTTTTGCTTATAATTATGTTGTTCCTTCGCTGTACATTATTTTAATTAGTTAATGAGATGGAAAAAGTTTATATAAAGTTGTAACCTTAAAATGTAGAATTAAATATGCACCTCAAAAATCTATGGGAAAATGTTGTTTTAATGTTGAAAAACATTATGCTTATCTTGATATCCAGATGTATGAATGTGGAAAATAAAAATAAAAATCGAGTCCCAAAAAGAGTTCATCTTGCAACATATTATCCCGACCGTCCATTTTCAAGATTTTCATATGTTTATAGATGTACTTGATTTTAACCATTTGTCTAGTTTAAAAATTTTATAATTAGATATGAAAATAGATTTTCAGATAATTCTAATAATTTTTTACACCAAAATTATATGTTACGATAAAAATTCGAAAGTGCGACTTAATTGGATCGTTTAAACCACACCCTAATGAGATTTAACATTACAAAAAAAAAAGAAGAAAAAAACAGAAAGCAATGTGTGTTGCAAGAATGGTCACTGGCACTCTGGAGTCACGCTCTAGGGTTATTAACGGGCAGGTTTGGACCCGGCTTTCCTTGAGCCAAACGTAGCACAAAACATTGTAGGGGTAGGCCCAGGCTTGGACCAAGCACGACAAGCTTGAATTCATCATAACAAGGCCTAAACCAAGCTTAGACCAATAAAATCGAGGAGGACTGGCCCTAGATTCAGTGTTAAGATAAGAGGCTGCACCCTTCTAGACCGAACAAGAGGAGGTCAGGCTTGGGCACATATAAAGAAATTTATATTATAAATATGGCAGTGATTTCATGCGACATTTGTATCATAGTATGATGCAACCACACTTTTAAAAAATCATGTTTGTGGTATTTGTATGACCCAAAATTTTACACACACACTCTCTTCGTCACAATAATCAATCCTCTTAAAAAAAAAGTTCAATTTGGACCCTAGATATGGTCAAATGAGTCCCCTCCAACAACTAATCTAGACCATTCATTTGGTGAATTTCAATATCTTAGTCTTTACAAACTCGAAATCTTTTTTTTTTTTTTTAACATTGTTCATCTAATGATACTAAATCCATCTAAAAAAATTGCAAAAGAAAAAATCCTTTTAAAGCTTAGATCTAAGGATATTATCAAAATGGATGGCCTATGCTAATTGGGCAAAAACAATACCTTCGTTTTCAAATTTTCCTTTTTTGTGATCATTCATTAGAATAAAAAGAATGTATATTTCAAATTTTGGATCAAACACATGGCTATAACATAGTTTTTGAATGTTGTTGCATTATATTACAACCGTTGCATAAAATCATTGCCCAAATATGATATATGCTTAAAAAAAATTTGGGCCACGCTAGCCCGAGCTCAACCCCGAAGCTTTAACCCGCACGTTAACTTAGCCGGTGATTGGGTATAGCCCAAGGGCCTATGGGGTGGCCAGGCCGGTTAGGAATGGGGTTGGGGCATCATTAGTTAAATGTGGTTTCAATACTAGAAATATTTGCGATAGCTTTAAAATATATTCTTATTTTTAATTATAAAATTTAAATCTTAAAAAATAATGTCGATCGAGAAGATTTATAAAAATATAAACATCTTGAAAATTGATGGTCTAAAAATACATTACAAGATGCATTAATTTCAAAACTTGAAATTCATGTTTTTCTCATATCCATGTATATTGATGTCGAGAATAGATCAATTTGAGAATATTTGATCATCGAAACATCAAAATGCATGGAAAGGAGAAAAAAATAGATTTCAAAATTATGAGAATAATACATATTGTAATGCATATTCAACTGTCAATTTATAAAATTTTCAAGTTTTCATAAATCGACTTGTATTTTTAAAGCTTTAAATTTTATAATTAAAGATCGAAGACGCAAGTCTAATGGGCTTGCAATCGCCCAGCGAGGCGAGATCTCTCCATCAATCCAAAAGTGCACATCACGTGATACGAATTATTGGTCCGGAACTCAAAAGCAGAATCGTCTGGAGAGTTTTCTCTCTCTAGACCCTCCTCTCTCTCTACTCCTCTTTCTCTCTCTTCCCAATTCTATGGTTCCAAAGCAGACCACGACAAGGACCTCAGCAATGTGGCTCCAAACAAGACAGCACTAAATCCATCTGGTGGACCTCAGATTTAAGTGGCGTGGTCTCGCACGAACCATTCACTCCCTTTCTCCATTGCCATTGCCATGGCCTTTGCCTTTGCCTTGTCCTATTTATATATAACTCCCATTACTCCATCTTCTTCCTAGGTTTCGAGAGCCTCAGGAATTCCTCACCCTTCATTCTTCATCAGAAACTGTCTCTGAGTTTGTTGTTTAGAAAAGTTCGAGTTAGTTACGAGTCTGCCCTTGGGGGTCGAAAATGGCCGCGGCATCGGCTCTTCATTCTATCGTGGCATGCTCCGCAACAGGAGGCGTTGGGAGCCGTAGATCCCTCTACCCATCCGCCACATGTCTCGCATCTAGGCGCGCTCGCTCTCTCATGGTGAGGTGTTCGGCTGAGGTGCGTCAAAGCCTTTACCGTTACTTATCATAGTGAGGTTGCCTGATTTCAAAATGTAGACCTGCTGCACTATTGACATGACTCGGTTGAGTCCACGGACTCGCCCTCGGGGCAAGCCAATATAAAAAAAATTCAAGAATGTGGAAATATTATATATGATTTAGATGGTTAGGAACAGATTGATGAGTGTGTTTTCTCTCCTCGTCAATGTGTTTTTTGAAATATTCCAAACTGTAAATCAGGTTTTCTGCATCCCATATTTTCTCTACTTTGTGATGCTTGTTTTAATTTATTAAAGTTATTTTAGTTTTTTTTAAGCTATGTTACTTCGTTTTTTTTTTTTTCATTGGCTGCAATGAATATGAGTTTGGTGAATAAAGTCAGAAGCTAAGCTGCGACAGAGTAACGTCATGAATGCAAGTTGCGGAGCTAAATTGAATGTCCTGATGATCCATCTCTTGCATTTGCAGAGCGACAATCAAGAGCAATCAGCACCTGTGGATACTCCTTCAACCCCAAAGAACAACCCCTCACCTCCTCCTCCCCCGCCCAAAAAGGTGCTTATTCCTCAATAATCCGTGCATTTAAATCTCTTCTTCTAGAGTCTCAAACCACGTATATAGATTCTCTCTTTCCTTTCTTCTAAGTTCTAATCCCTTGATATTCTATTGGTTACAATACCAAGATCGTAGAAATGCGTATTTTTTTCTAAATAATAAAATGTTTCAGATTCAGGGAGCAATGATTAGGTTTTCAAGGAAGCCAAAATTATAGAAAATCTCTATATGGGCGCGTTCTGAATATATGTTCTTTTGTTTGGATAATGATGTAGTAGTTAAGGAAGGAAGGAAGAGGTTATTTCTCTATTTGATATCTTATTTTAGGAAAAAGTTTATACAAGGATGCTACCTTATAGTGTACGCCTACGGATGCTACTCCAAAATCCATTGGAGAAGGTAGTTTTAATGTTGAAAAACCCTTTGATTGATCATCTCGACGTTAAGATGTATGACTATGAAAAATAATAAGAGTTTAAGTCATAAATACTGCATTTTACAACATATTATCAGCACAGTCCATTTTCAATATTTTCCTATGTTTATAGATCTCCTTGATTTTAACCATTTTTTAAATTTAAAATTTTATAATTAGATACAAAAAATAGATTTTGAGATAATCCTAATAACATTTTACATCAAACTGATATACCATGATGAGCTTTCAAGGGCACCTTAGCTATACACCTCTACCTGGGAGTCCGCAACCCTTGATTTATATTTTCAATTAAATTACAAATGAATGTATTTATTAGAAGAACATAGATAGGTAAATTATATCAAACTACCACTTGTAGGGTGATCCTTAATAAGGACCACACTCTAACGATCTTACTTTCGTGTTCTTAATTGTAGCTTAGTATAGATAAGGACCCGGTTTCTATGCGGCCAAGTCCGCATATGTAGAAATGCGGGCTTATTAATAAATCTATTTTTGAGATATATTTTTTGACATAATTTTTAAAGACATATAATCTCTAACATGGAGATCATGAATATGAAAAAAAAAATTAATTTTAAAAACTAAAAATAATAATTCTAATAAAAATATATTTGGACCATTAAGTTCTTCTACTGTTTTTAGATAGAACACCTACGATGCACTACACTTTTCAGATCGCTTATGTAATCATGCGTTTTCCTATAGATAATGGTAGATAGCTTCTCTGAGTCCTAGGACTCACATGTCTATACTAATACTATATGGTTTCTATGAGTCCTAGGACTCGCATGTAGACATGGATCCTAGGACTTGAAATGTGCCTAACCGCTAATTATCTCACTAATACCAGGTTAGCCCCAACTTCACAGACATCCTAGCCTTCAGTGGACCCGGCCCCGAGAGGATCAATGGCCGGCTCGCGATGGTGGGATTTGTGTCCGCGCTGGGAGTTGAGCTTGCACGAGGCAATGATGTGGCATCCCAGTTGGCCAGTGGAGGCCTATGGTGGTTTGTGGGGTCCAGCGCGGTCCTAACCTTGGCCTCTCTCATACCACTCTTGAAGGGTGTAGATGTGGAGTCTAAGAAGAATGGTATCATGAACCCTGAGGCTGAGATATGGAATGGCCGATTTGCCATGTTGGGCTTAGTGGCTTTGGTCTTTACTGAGTATTTAAAGGGAGGGGCTCTCGTGCAAATGTAGTTCCTTGATGCATTGAATTGTTTAAATATATAGAAATATCGTGTTTGAAATATTATTAGATGAATGCCGTTCAAAAAAATAATATTATTGGATGAATGTGTGTGCAGATCGATTGATCTGATACACTCGGATGTTTGTGTGTGCGGGCGTGCGATCTCTCTCAAATGAGGATGGATGGTGCTATTCATGCATATATTTTTGGAAAAAGGGCAAATATTTTAGACTAAAGATTACAAAAGCTCTAATAGTTTTATTTATTGGCAATGTGTGGCAACCAACCCGTTGCTTACTCAAATATGAGACCCAATGAATTTCAAACGACCTTAATCTAAATCAGGAAATGAAGGTGAGTTAGATGCTCTCCCCAATTTTATTGGGCTGGGTCGACGTTGAATTACTCGAGTGTAAAATATATAATATAAAGATATATAATAATATATATGTTTCCTAAATCTAGACCCAAGCCAGAACACACCTAAGCTAACGGCTTGCTGCGCGTCCAATGGCTTAGACTAGACATGGGAACGGGTGGGGGCTGGTCCAGCTAGATCTTAGGTCGACTCCAAGTCGGATCGACAGGCACTTAATACTTCTAATTGATGGTAGGGGTGTTTTTGGGACCTTAAATTTGCGCAAGCTCATTTCTTACCTCGCCAGCGATTATTTTCTAAGAAAAGAAATGAAATCAATGTTTTCAAAAAAAGGAAAAATATTGCAATGAATAAGTCTATAAAATATACAATGAATAATTCTATCAAAATCTCCGTCATGCCATTTGATTTGTTTAAAAATCCGATAGAGGTCATTTTATGGTTTTAGACGTGCAATGCGCTTTTTCAAAAGTGATATCTGCCCTTTTTTTGATAAAGCAATAGGTGTGTATATAAAAAACAATTTATCTTTCGGATATAAAAAAATAAAATGTCTAATTTTCAATGCTTCGAAGTTCTATGTAATCGTAACAAAGGTCCATTGTAAACACCTCTGATATTGCTAAGAGAGAGAAAAAAAGAAAAATGAGTAAAAAAAGGGACGAGTACTCTATTATGCTATTTGGAAATTTGCAGAAAATGGTATGAGAAAGTGTGCCAAACGAGCAGAACAAAATACCCCCTTTCAAGGCCGTTCCCTAGAACTCCTCGAGTCACATTTCCATGGAAACAGCCCAAATGACCTATTTGGACATAAATATGTTTCGGTGGGGAGTCCTGTTTCTTTATTTTAAGCCAAATCTTTGAAATCAAAAGTTAAACGTACAAATATAATGTTATTGTTGTTACCGTTAATATTATTGAAAAAGTGATCACTTAAATATATTTTTATTATAATAAAATGCTATTATCTTAATATATAAATATCATACTATATTACAATTAAATTATTTATATTTTATTATGATATTTTTTATATTATATTATTATATTAATAGCAATAAAATATGAAAAAAATTTATATAAAGTTGCAACCTTAAAATGTAGATTCCCAGATGCACCGAAAAAATCCATCGAAAAATGTTGTTTTAATGCTAAAAAACCACCTAATTGATCATCTTAATATCGATATATAAGAATATGAAAAAAGACAAAAAAAAAAAGATTTTAAAAAAAAGATTTTCAATGCAAATAGTACTGCATCTTACACACATTATCTAGACCGTCAATTTTCAAGATTTTAATATGTTTATAGATCTACTTGATTTTAACTATTTTTGAAGTTTAAAATTTTATAATTAGATATGAAAATAGATTTTGAGATAATCTTAAGATTTTTTTACATCAAAATTACATATTATGATAAAATTTGGAGGTACACCTTAATAGGATAATTTAAAGTTGCAACCTTATAGAAACCACACCCATAACAAATATTATATTATTATATAATTATTATAAGAGTAAATAATTAGTTGATCCCAATTAATTGGGATAAAGTTTTGATGATAATGATAATGATGATATATATTATTAGGAAAAATTTTATATAAGTTTGCAACTTTAAAATGTAGAAGTAAAGATGCACTTCAAAAATCCATCGGAAAAGATTGTTTTAATGTTGAAAACCTATCTAATTGATCATCTCGACATTGAAATGTATGAATATGACAAAAAAAAAAGATTTTGAGTCCCAAAAATCACACATCTTGCAACATATTATTTAGACTATCCATTCTCAAATTTTTCATATGTTTATAGATCTACGTGATTTTAACCTTTTTCGAAGTTTAAAATTTTATAATTAGATATGAAAATAGATTTTACGATAAACCTAATGATTTTTTGGAAGTGCATCTTAATTGGATCATTTGAGGTTGCAACCTTATAGAAACCACACCCTTTATTATTATTATTATTGTTATTATTGTTATTATTATTATTATTATTAATTACTATAAAATAACAATACTATAATATCATATTAATAGTAATCAAAGAATGTTATATTATTATTTGAGTAAACATCACAACTATCAAAAAATCAAGCGATGAGAAACAAAGTCTTGAACTAAGGGTGGCAATGGACCCAAGACCTGTTAGGAATACCCTACACAGGTCTGGATATGGGTCCAACATTTGGACCCGACAGGTCGAGTCCGGGTCCAAAACCTAGACCTAAACACTATTCATGTCCGTGTCTGAGTCCGGTTGGACCCGCCCTATACCCTTAAATTGTTAGAGATAAAATACTTCAACTCAATTTGTTTGGGTGTATTAAGGATCATATACAATAAGAACTCGTAGTCATCTTTAACTATTAAACAACAAATGTTTGCAATCTAATGGCAGGTGATTGTGACTTTCGTTGCCAATAATATAGAAAAAAAAGGTAAAAAAAAAAAGCTCATAGTGAGGGACCTTACCACACCCGATGGGTAGGAGTATGGGTCCAACTTTTGGACCCAACAGGTTGGGTCCGGGTCCAAAGCTTGGACCCGAATACACTTCGGGTTGGGTCTTGATCCAGCCGGACCGGACCCACCCCTATCTTGAACCATTGAGCACGCAAACAGTTATCGTTTTGGAGGGGTATCTGCAGACATCCAAAGGGAATCCGGTATAAGAGTCCAGGATCGGGAGCCCGCAACTTCATCAATGGGCACAGAATATGCAATTTCTTTGATATCAGCCTCGGAGAGCTTCAACTTCCAGGACCCAAGGTTCTCATTGAGGTTTTTAACCTTACTTGTCCCTGGATAATGCACCCAAATGCAATGAAGATAATCGCATTATAAGTGACCCATTGGGTGGACCATAAAGCAAAAGAAAAGGGACATAAAATGAAAACCAGTCTCATTTTTAGGCCGAATCACAAGCATGTAATGTGTAATAATGAGATATAGTAGGAAAAAGGCCGAGGTCGTGGTGCTAGTACACCTTATATCTCAGTTGTGGCTTCCATTCCCACTGACATCTTCAAAAACTACTAACTAATTGAAAAACGGGTCGAGGCCTGTCATCGTCACTGAATTACCCAAAAAAAACAAAAAAATAATGAGATATAGTTGTATAAGAGGTAGCTGCCCATCTCAATGCAATGCATAATGAGAAGTGAGCAAGTACACGCAAGCACATGTATGTGTGTGTGTGAGAGAGAGAAAGAGCATGTAGGAGGGAAAAAATCTTGGGGAAGGAGGGCAAGTTGTGGCATCGAGAGAGGAAAAAGGAGAGGAAAATTTATGAAGAAAACATTTCAAGAGAATTTTAAGAAGAAATATCTTGCAGATCTATTTTTCTTTCCTCCCTTCATCCTAAATTCTCTCCGTCCATCTCTCTTCATTGCATCTTTCCACCATATCCCCACTTTCCTTTCTCACTCTCACTTTCCATCTAATACTTCATATGATGCATTTCATTTTCACTGGGGTTTTGAAGGATGGGCACACAAATGCACCAAGCTCAGTGTATATTACAATAAGCTGCAAGTTAGATCAGAGCCACATATTGCAGTTGAGAATCCAGTATGCTAGCATTGGTATCATCTGAGAGACTGATAAACATCGGCAAAAGTATAAGAACCTGAGTATGGACTACCTGGGATAGGAGCCACATCATTGCCTTGATACAGAACCCATGCAAGAGCCAGTTGACCAGGGGTACAATCATATTTAGTAGCCAAGTTTGCAATGCGCGTGTATAGGATCTTGTTCTTTTCAAGGTTTTCTCCCTTGAACCTTGGATGAGCTGCCTGTTAAGGCAAAAGTGTTTTAAATTAAAGTAGAATCTGAGTACATATTCAAGCAAATGTAGAAGATACCCAACACAAAATGCTGATAGGCATATAGTTTTTGTTCTGAAGGGGAAGGGGAGAGGAGGGGTGCTTGATGGTTTGGCAATTTCTCAACTTTTCTCTGTATAATAGTTAACAAAATGCTAAATATATATTTAAAAGGAAGTACTAAGCCAGAAGCAAGGTCATACCAAACTACTTTCTTTAGGCAGACTTTCCAAAACTGCCTTCCCAGCAAAGAAGCCACGACCAAGAGGGCTATAGGGCACTATCCCAATACCAAGTTTCCTGCAATTGAAATGTCACAAAGCATGTAAGCACATATTTGTATTTTTGGGAATTCATCAAACCACTCCCACGAAATGCACTAATTTACATTTTACCCATTATTTAATTGTTCAAGTGACAATTTTCAATTTTGCCCATCCATTAAAACCGAAGTAGTCCTGAAAAGATTACATGCTCCAATGTAAATTTGCTCTCTTGCGCAAAAGCCTAGCTAGAAGTATTTTTAGGATCGTGAATTTTGGGGATGTGACATGACTTTGCAACCATTCTAAAAAGAGTAAGCGAACCTCAATATGCAGCTTGGAGTTGTGTAAAAAAAAAAAAAAATTACGCCTCAAGATTGCACACAGACCTAGGGGTGGCAATTGGGTTGGGTCGATCCGCCAGCCGGTGGGTTGACCCGAGTGGGGTCTGGTTCCAGGTGTTGGAACCGGCAGGTCAGGTCCACGTCTGGGTCCGGCTTGGACCCTATTCGTTCAGGTTCGGGTTAATTCGACCGTAGTATTTCTTAACTAGCCATGAAATTAGGTTCTTAAGAGAACCATCATGTATGAGGAGTTTGTCTTGTTTATATATTGAGATACTAAGATGAACTTTAAATGCTGTATAGCTCATTTAAATGCCAATTTAGTGAGGATTGGGTACCAGACCGAGAAATTAAATTGATAAGTGTTGCTATTATGAGTTCATATATCACATGCCTATGCATGTGTGTACTATATATGCACGTGCTCGCTACTAGCTCCCACAATAATGAGGGGCGTTGTGCTGCGAGATCTAACTTCACCTTAAGCCGACCCAGTATTCATAAATATGAATTACATAACTATATAAGTTAAATAATATTAACTAATATGTTATAAAATATACAAAATACTTTTTTTGTTTTATATTTCCAGACTAGGACCCAATGTGCACAGTGGGTCGGGTCTAGGTCTAAATGACATGGAACCCATCCACATCCAGGTCCAAGTTAGACCTAGTCAAGTCGGGTCTGCATCGGGTCCAAGTTAGACCTAGTCAAGTCGGGTCTGCATCAGGTCCAAGTTAGACCTAGTTAAGTACTTAAAAAAAAAAGTATACTGGTATGGCTGTTGGGATAAGTCTCGAATGATAATGATGATGATTCTCATATGGCTATTCTAAAGTGGATCGTGAAATTTGATATCAAGGGATTCCTCTTAATTAGGTCATTCGCCTAAGGAGAAAATTTAAGTTCTACTCCCATGGGAAGAAAATTTGCGCACGTAGGGGTTTGGTATTACAATATCAATATCTCACATGGACGGTTTTACTAAATACCACTTTAGTTTTGATGATCATGCAAAATTGGAAATTGCTCCTCCATCAATTTTTTAGCCCCTGTGATGTGCTCCTTGATGGGCTTTCTGAAAGCATGACAACGGGAATGAGTGAAATGTTAAATAGTGAATCTTATCAGGTGTGTTTTGATAAATTTCCATATACTCTTTAGTATAGCATACAAGCATTTTAATGCCCATAAGCAATAGCGGTAAAAGAACAGAGACAGCACAGACTCTAGCAATGCATAGAGGAAAAATTACGTTAAAAATGTAAGAAAAACAATGGAAGTGCAGAAATCTGGGGAAGCTGCAGATGTAGGACCATAATATGGGCTTAAACATGTGATTTAATAATATTAAAGATTTAACTGGCAAACAATATAATTTTCAAATAGTATGAGCCAAAATGGGTAATATTGGCATGTTTACCCCATATTAACTAACACATCTTTAGATGGAGAGCAAAAATGCATTCTTGAGATCTGAAATACATACTTCATGAAAGTTGAGAACGTATTTCAGGCAAAGTAAAATTTATTCGCAAGAAGGAATGAATCAGTCGACAAACTGCACTAAAATTCATCATTAGCTATTCAGCTGCCAATAAATTTTTGGGATGCAAATGCTTCAAGCTATCAAAACCACAGCACTATCCACCACAAAAAAAGTCATTTGTAGAGTTTGATATTAAAGACCATGTGCTAACAACAATGAGACATACTGCCTCGTATAGGATTGCATAAATAATCATGTCCTAATATTATTGCATAACCTGTCATATGGAACAGCATAACCTGTCATGTGGAATGCATCACCACCCATAGTCCATGCAATGCACCCACCAAATATGCATAGCTAAATATTCAACCAAAAAATAACGCATACATAAAATGCATACTAATTTCTTCCCTACAAGTATAAAAGAAAATTGTCTGCATATAAATACAACAAAGAACAGACCTGCATAAAGGGATTATCTCATCTTCAATATCACGAGACCATAAGGACCACTCGAGTTGTACAGCCGTGATTGGGTGCACAGCATGTGCACGCCTTATGGTATCCACACTAGCTTCAGACAACCCAATATACTTAACTTTTCCCTCTTCCACCAACTTTTTAAGTTCCCCAATCTACATTATTTCATTGGGATAGCAGTCAAGAATGTTTATAGATGGACGCATAAAACTGTACAAGTATATAAACATGTATATAATACCTACGTACACACACATCAATATATAGGGAAATGATTTTATGACAGTCGATCTGACATATAATGTGGGGGACCTAATATCCAGGCCAACCATGAATTACAGAGATGATCCATAATCTCCCTCTAGGGACACTGGCATATTTTTTACCCAGTTATGGATCATATTCACCACCTGTGGTAGGCCATTGATGGCGGAGATTGCGGTCCCACAATTTTTTTGTTTAGGATCATATGCTCATCTCCCACATACATACATCATCATCATCATCAAAGCCTTTTCTCAACTATTTGGGGTCAGGTACATGAAACCCGGTCCGCTAGCTTGGTCAGCAAGTCAATACCGGTCTCCCTCATGCATTCCAAACCTCTATCGGGATACCGTCTAGTCCTAAAGCCTTTACTCTTCAAACTTCTTTCAATTCATACACACATATATACATAAATATAAGTATGTATAGTATGTACATGTGTGTGTGTATATAGAGAGAGAGATAGAGAGTAGACTACACATTCTTGATAAATTCCTAGTATCATGAACACCATTCTAGGAAAAAGAAGATCCGTAATAATCAACTGGCCCATAAAATTTTGAATTAAATGGAATGACAATTGCTCACAGTTTCCTCTATGGGCACTGATGTATCCACCCTGTGTTGATAGTAAAGATCAATATAATCCACATCAAGGCGTTTAAGGCTGGCTTCACAGCATTGGTGAACATATTCTGGTGTACCCTTAGCCACGAGCTCTGTTTCTGTAATCATGTATATACCAAATTTTGTTGCTAATTGTACTTTATCTCGAGGTAAGTGCTTCAATGCCTGAAACAATTTTCATCATTGATATAAAAAGACTCAGAAAATGACAAAAGATTTCAGCAAGAACAACTGAGGACAAGTGAGTGAAGTATATACAAGCCAAATTCCACAATTGCTAATTGAAATACTCATTTACTCTGTAGATAGGAGTAAATATATGAAAACAGGAATAGATAACAGGAAAATTAGAAAATGGATTAGTTTACATAAGCAACTTCATCTATTCATACTTATCTATCACTTACTAAAATGCACGAACCATCTTATTCATTCTATTATTCATACAAATTATGCATAAAACCTTTCTTAGTCACCTGATGACCAACAGTGCTTCTAAGTTTACCTGGTGCAACCTAAGCTCCTATAAATAGCCTAGATGGCTATTCAAGCCATATAAGAGGCATGTTCAAACTTATGCATCATATGCAGAAGCTCAACATACTCACCCTGTATCATTGTTTACCAAGTTCATTTTCTTATTAGTAATATTTATCAAGTTCATCTCACACCTTATCCCACTTACCTCACTACAGGTGGGGATGGTCTGCCTAAAATTCCAAAAAATAACAAAAATCATTGAAGGCTAGCAAGTAGTAACCAATACACCAACTCTCTCAACAAATTAATCTATAAGGAAAAGTTCACCTACAATTAGTTTCTTTTTGAAGCAATCAACTTTTTTTTTTTTTATGGAATTTGAAGCAATCAACTTTTAACACTGTGAAAAGCATTATTTTTAGAAGATTCATATGGGTGTTGAGATTTGAGAGTGCAAAGTTTGCCCTTCACAATACAAGCTCGCGTACCGATAAAAGTATCTTACGCACTTGATATAGAACTAAGTCTTTGAATGAATTCCAATGCATTACATGTTGAGGTGTTGTTATTCATTTTTCCAAGGTTAAGTTTAATTCCAAAACAGGGCCCGCATTTTCTCTTCTTGTGTCCAGTCATGAGGCACATTAGAGCAGTTCATAACAGCAAACAATATGACAAATCAAAAGAAAAATAGTCTATTGTTCATACGAATCATACCTTTCCAACTAAGACTTCATTCGAGGAGTTAGTTCCATATCTATCCGAAGTATCAAAAAATGTAATGCCTCTCTCAAAAGCATATTTTATGACTGCAATTCCATCTTCCTCTGGTAAAGGGGCACTGTAAGCTCCAGTCAAACTAGTACAACCAAAACCCAATCTGGAGACCTGAAAGAAAAAAGAATTTTGCCAATTCCTGTAAGTGGCTGATATAAAGGAAATGCTAAGTAGGAGGCTTGAAAAGAAGGAAGGTTCAAAATTGCATAGCATGCACATGGTGAAAAAAGAACACCAGACAAAGATGAGAAAATGCAAAGAGGTACAAGAAGATAAGCATACACATAACATGCAACCAATATAAGATGAAAAATGGCAAGAAGAATTTTCCCTTTTCTGGCTATTGCAATAAGAATTCATCAATTAAGCATATTACGAGGAGCTATATTGCTACCCTAATTGCAGATGAGAAATGGATAAGCCACATTTTCAAATGGGCCTCACCAAAATAAGAGGGAGTTTCAAGATTACTCAATGAAAACCACACAAAAATCCCCAATTCTTCATAAATGATTCGATTGCTTCTCATATTTCAGAGTATCCACAAAAAAGTACGGAATAATCATAGTTTACTTGCAAAAAAAGAGGTTGTGGCCCTCTAAAATATAAGAAAAGAATTCCGTACTTAAATCAATGAGCCGACTACTAAGGATCAACATGTTTCGGACACAGTCCACAAAAATTCCTGTAAGATTTTACTGGTGCATTGTAACTATGAGTTACAAAAATAGAATGGTTTTTTTTTTTTTGCTGGAAAATTGAAGAGCTAATAAAAAAATCCATGAACACGACTATCAAGTATTACTCAAGACTCAAGGGTATACTGGAAAAATCAAAACCATGAGTCACAAAAATGAATTGGGTCTCTTCTTCTGTTAATTGCTGTGGAATTTTTAAGGGCTAATAATAACAAATTAGCGCAGGCTTCACCTCTAATCCCTGGCTTCCTAGCTTCATACGTGGGACATTTTCGAAAGCCATTGTAGCCGTGGAACAATGATGGCAGAGAGGAAACACAGACGATTACACGCCCAGTTGTGATGAAGCTTGAAACTGATTTATTAGCTTTTTTAAAAAAAACAGAGTGATTTATTAGTGATTCAATGGAACGTGGGACCAAGAATTGAAAGAAAATTACAAAATGGACCATAAAATGAGCTACCTATGCAATTTACCCCACCTTAATCTTTTTTCACACTTTTGTCCCTCAAAACAATCTTACCTCGCAAAAACCGCCAAGGTCAAAAATCTTTACTTTTTTTTGGCAGAAATACCCTTCCCATACAAACCATATCAATTCACGATCTCAAATAGAGTAGTGCCGAAATGCAATATACAACTGCCGAAACGGAATGTCAAGAAGCACTGCCGGAGTGTGTATTTTCAGTGCCAGAGCGAACTGCCAGAGCATGTAGTATCACTGCCGGAGCACAGTTATCAGTATGCCAAAGCAATACGGGTCAGACAAAGCACTCTCGGAGCGCACATTGTGACTGTCGGAATGCGCATTAGGACTGCCGGAGCGCAATCCTCCATTGCCGGAGCCGAAGGCCGTGTGAAAAGAAACAGAAGAGAGAAGACCGTGTGAAAAGAAACAAAGGTATTTTAATTTTATTTTATATTACTTTTGGGTTGGGGGTTTTTGGGAAGAAAGTTTCTTTGGGAAAAAAAAGTGTGAAAGAAATTGGGGTGGTGGTAAGTTGCTTGGATAACCCATTTTAGGGTGTATTTTGTATTTTGCTCATAATTTAATATCTATTTTATCTTATCTGTTAATTAAAAAGTAATTGTTCATATTGTATATTTATACTCAGTTTTGGTAGTTAAAATAGGGTCGAAATTATGAATCATTTTCTTTCTTTTTCGAATTGGTGTTTACTTTCAAGAAATAATAAACGAAGAAGGAGGTCATTTTGCGTATCTTGTAGTGGTCCCATTACAGATCTTTTTGAGATATTTTAAAGCCCAAAATTGTCCTCTTTCTGCCGGGAAGCCAAGAAATGGAAAACTTCTTCTTCTTGTTGTTTTTTTGTGAATATTGCCAAGAAATAGAAACTCTTGCCTACGTCGATGTTCAACGAAAACAGATCTTTTTCTGATACTTTAAGGCCCAAAATTGTCCTCTTTCTGCGCCGGCAAGCCAACTAATAGAAAACTTCTTCTTCTTCTTCTTTTTTTTTGTGAATATTGCCGAGAAATAGAAACTCTTGCCTATGTCGATGTTCAACGAAAACAGATCTTTTTGAGATACTTTAAAGCCCAAAATTGTCCTCTTTCTGCCGGCAAGCCAAGAAATAGAAAACTTCTTCTTTTTCTTCTTTTTTGTGAATATTGCCAAGAAATAGAAACTCTTGCCTATGTCGATGTTCAACGAAAGAGGTTTTTTAATGGGAAAAATTACAAAAACAAAAAAAACAACCAAAAGGCTAGTTTATCTCCAAACTAATCTTTTCTACCACTTTTTTTCTCGAAATATACTTTTTAGGCAAATACCACCAATCCAAACATAAAAAAATACCTAAACTACCCTCCCTTACGTTTACTTTACCTATGCCCCTCTCTCTTCTATACCACCAAGGGCTTCGGTAGTGTAAGTACGGTCCGGCAATACGCTCCAATACTGTGTAAGTGTAGTCCGGCAATAGGCCTCTGGCACTACGTACAGTAGTGTCCGGCAATAGAGCTACAGTATTTTGTAAGATGGGTCTGACAGTTACAAAGGGCGGTCCGGCAGTTGTAAAGGGGTCCAACCATAGATGTTATTGGATTCCAGGGATCCGGCGCTATGTACGGGGCGTACCGCAGTACTCAATTTCAAGTAGTTGTCTTAGTGCAGTCCGACACTTGTGCACTCGGGCAATGTTTTGGTGGGCTACAATAATGTGCTACTGCGGTCCAAAGTCAGAGTCAAATCTAGCCAAAATAATTTTTGTCTACAAAAAAAGCATTTTTGTCTAAAGAAATGAACTTTTTCCTTGGTGGGTATTTGCATCGAAAGTTTTTTTGAGTAAAAAAATATGGGAGAAAAAGTTAGGTTAGGGGTAAATTGCATAGAAATTGTAGTATTGGAGTTTTTTGTAATTTTCATTTTTTAATATTATTTTGAGTACGCATTTGAAAATGGCTTTTGAATGAGAAAAAAGGGGAAATATATCAAATTATCTGCGAGATATGAACATTTTAATTTTAAAATACTATAAAAAATAATAATCTTAAGTTGAAATGGGTTCAAATGATCAGAATGTTAAATAGTTAATCTCATCTCTTGTGGGTATTTTGAAATTTTTCGAAAAAGCAATTGATACATTCAAGGAAAAAGAGAGATAAAAAAAAAGTCATGTGCGATTTCTTTGTTAAAATTTATTTTCATGAAATGGGAATATAATGTCAGTCCTAACATATTGAGGAAGGATACGGCCCTATTACATTGCCTCTTTTTCTTTTAGAAGTTTATCAAAATACTCAAGGAAAATTGTTTCATGCGGCGGAGGCTGCATTTCTACATTTGTGGTTCCCGAGGTATAAAGCATACATCTTAAAGATGGATATAAATAGGTGGTCCGTCTAAAAACAACTGAAACTAACAGTCCAAATGTTTTCTTCATACAATTATTATTTTTAATTTTAAAATTTTGTTTATTTTTTCATATTCAGGATCTCCATGTTAGGGATTATATCTCCTAAAAAATTAAATCCAAAAATCCATCTCAAAAAAATATTTTTAAGAGGTGACTCATATCTATATAGACTCATAGAGACCGTGTCCAATAACTCAATGAATATGTACTATTTAATTGTATAGTGTGAAACTATTTATTTTTTGTACATGGATGTTACAATTATTTTTAACCAATAGATGTGAAATCCAATAGATTTAAATGTATCACAATACTCGAGAACCATCTCATTGTTTTGGACCTAAACAATGACACATCAACAACCACCTTATTTCAAATATGGGTCAATGATAATTGTGACCTTCATGTATCAAAAGTAAATGTTCTTATTGTATATATTTTCAAAGACTTTATGCTTCAAGATCATTTATTTTTTAGTGCAAAAGCTCACAATCATTGTTAACCATTGTCTGTGAAATTCAATCGATGAAAGTGTTTCATGACATTCGAGAATTTTTTTAACTTTGTACCTAAACAATAACACATCATCAACCACCCTATTCCAAGTCTAGGTCAATGATGATTGTGATCTCCTTGTATAAAAAATAAATAGTCTATTTGTATACATTTCTTTATAAAATTATTAATTAACTTGCTCCTTTATTCTTCTATATTAAGGGCATAGGTTCTAAATTTATGATAACACGTGGTAAAGTTTTATATCGGCTGCCTACCTATGTCAACCCACCTCCTATTCCCGGGTTTGGGACGGGTTGCGGGAAAGTTTAAAGTCCTCACCCTTCTTAGACCAAAATAATGTATCATAAGACGTACTGTTGAAATCTCTCTCTCTCTCTCTATCTATACATCTCGAGGTCGAGATAATCAATTAAAGGATTTACCAACATCATAACATTATTTTCCAATGGATTTTTGAGATGCGCATACTTCTTGATGCAATCATGGAATGACCTAATCTGAACTTTTTAACGTACTTTAATTAAAGGTTATATTTTGGGGATTTTTAATAATTATGTGAGTTTAGATTATTAGGTTTATTTTAATTATTCTTTTGTTTAGGAATAATCAGTGATAATTAAGAGAGTATGAGTTTATATTGTGTTTATCTTTTATCTATTGGGTTAGTTAGTTCAGAATGTAAATAGGATAACGTTAAATGTAAAAGGAATTTTATTTTTTCGGTAGGTTGATTTTAGATAAAAACGTGGGAAGCTTTGGATGTTTGGATGAAAAGGTTTGGTTAAAACGTGAGAAGCAAATCTTTTGAGACGTAAAGTTAAAGAGAGGAAAAATAGGGATGAGAGAAAATAATGGAACAGATAAAATATGAGAGTGCGAGTAGAAGTTTTTCTTTTTCTTATCTTTTCTTTTTTTTAGTCTATTTAAATGGAGGTTTCCCTTTGGTTTATTTAAAGGGAAGTTTCCCTTCTTTGTAAATCAGAGTGAATGAGTTAATAAAATTTGGTCTTGTGAATATATTGTTTTTTTGTAGATTTGGTATTTTCTCTCAACCTTATTTCTTTTATTGTTATTTTTTTTGTTTTATTCTCTCCCTGCATCAATTAGTTTTTATTGTTATTTTTTTTGTTTTATTTTCTCTTTGCATCAATTGGTATCATAGCGGGTTACGATGGCTTCAATAGAGGCATCCCTCGAAATATTATAGTTGTGGTTGATGACTCAAAAAGTTCAAACCCTAGTGGAGAAAGTAGAAAAACTCATGCCTTTAGTGATATAGTAGAAGAGCTCACCCATAAGTTTGTTCAGCTTCAGTGTGAAAGGGATTTGGAGAGTAAATTTGGAGAACAAGTCAGTGTGAAAGGAATTTGGAGAGTAACGTTGGAGAAGAAGACAATGACGGTGAAGGAGGTGACTTTCATCTTGTTCCTATTAAAAACGATATTTCTAATATCATCATTCCTATCAAAAATGATATTCTTGAGATCAAGTTTCCCATCAATGTCGAAAATCATGTGGAAAATCTTATCTCAAATAAGGCATTGGATTTTGAGGACAATGTCAATCATAATTTTGAAAACAATGTTATTTATAGAAAATGTCAATCACAATTTTGAAAACAATGTTATTCACTTAAATGATGGCTGAGTTCAAGATATTTGCATTAATCCCTCGGAGAAGAAGCAAAAGAAAGATGCGGATTTGATGTATAACTCATCTTAGTCCTCTTCAAAACTCAAGGACGAGTTTTCTTCAATAATAGGAGATTGATGTCATGGAATGACCCTTATTTTAATTAAGGGTTATATTGTGGGGATAAGTTATTTTAGTTATTTTTTTGTTCAAGTATAGTCAAGAGATAATCACGTATCGATTGAGTTAAGTTAATTTAAAACCTAAATAAGATAAAGTTAAATCTAAATGGAGTTTTATCTTTTCAATAATAAGTTGGTTCTGGATAAAAATGTGGGAAGCTTTG